TCTTTGCTAAGACTTCTCTCTGTTTCATTCTTACCCTCGCAGTCCCTTTTTCCTCTGAACTTATGTTAGAATTTTATAGAAATCTTTATATAAATTAAGCTTTCACAGCCCTGACCTCCTATGTGAATCGACGCCCGGTTGAGATCACATATCAGGACTATGCTGAACTGTTGCGGCTATCCACCACCGGGGATAAGCTGCATACCAGTATTTATGATCCTGATTTTGATTGGACCTCGACAAATAATTTCCTTCGCCAGACCAATGCACCATTTCATGTTGAGAGACTTGCTCTTTAGTTAAAGATACTAGGACAATCCAACATGTCCTTCGCACTTCCATAATTCCAAAGGCCGGTGATCGTATCCATATCACTCCTCTACTTTCTTTGACTACTTTTTACATCATGACCCATAGAGATTTCAATGCTACAGACCTGATTTTTTGTTACATTGATCATTTAACAACTATTCACAATCCGGGCCATAGGAGGAAACCCAACCTTGCTATAGGACACCTCATAGCCTATATTCTTGAAACCAAATACAATCTTCAATATCCTGCTCGTCACGACCTTCAGCCTCCCTGCTACTCAAACATTTCTTTCAATATCCTTCACAGTACTCATCTCCACCCAAGGGATGGGGAACCTCAGAGGGATGAGGAGGAGGAGGCTTCTGATCCCATTCCTGAACCTGCTCCTCTCTGCCAGCACTCACAGTTTGATCACTTAATAGAGATATTTGATCAGTTGGAGAACCGATTCGACACTTTTGTAGCTCACCAGCAGTAGCAGCATGATGAGGCTATGGCCTGTTTTGATACTCTTGTTGTTCACCAGCAACAGCAGCACGACCAGGACATGGCCTGGTTTGGCTCACAGTTTGCTGTCTTGACTAGTTATTTTTAGCAGCCACCACCACCACCACCTCCGTCTGATGATCAGGGAACCTCGTTTTTCTAGTCTTAGATTTTATTTCCTATAGTTTCTTATGTTTGTTTTTCCTTCTTTTTGTACTTTTTCTACTTTAGTTGTTTTTTTTTTTGTTCTCTCCTTCTTATTGAGATGTAAAAAGGGGAAGTAATATGTTTGTACTTGTTGATTATATTTATACTTATTCTATGTTTGTACTTATTGATTATGTTTGTACTTGTTAGTTTGTACTTGCACCTATTTCTACTATGAATTTTTGAAATTCTTGAATTATACTGCTATAATCATCAAAGTGTTTGTCATCATCAAAAAGAGGGAGATTATTGTAAACTTAGTTTCATAGATTATGATTTTGATGTTAGCAAACACTTTGACTACCTTCCTCTACTAATGTTTCAGGACCAAAAGATCTGGCGACAAACTGAGCCAGCTCAAGATTGGGTAAACTAGGTCTGAGTTAGTATGTATTTTTCTTTTTCCCTTTCTTGAGCAATTGTAAATATTTTAAGTAATTGATGTTAAGTAACCCTACACACACACTTGAGAGATTTAGAATTTGTGTTTTTACTCACATCAACCCGGACGATATTTATATCATCCTGAACGATCGAGATCAAAACAGAAGTTCTAATCAAGATTTCTTAGTTAAGGCAACCGTAATTAACTTATCGGCCTGGACAATACTTGTATCAGCCAGGATGATATGCTTAATACATAAAGAAATAGTCGCCATGATCAATTTAGGTATTCTATATTTTTGGAAATCGGCTAGGACGATCGTGAGATTGGCCTGGACGATATGACACAATTATGCCTAAATTGATCCGACAATTAAGGAAGCAATTAAGGATGATTGATACGATCACATCATCCTGGATGATCGCAGGCCCTTAGTTGCTCCTGGCCGATCAGGATCGGAAAGCTCGAATTCAGGGCGATGCTCTGGACGATTTTCCTCTTATTTGAACTAATCGTTCGGGACGATCGTGAGATCGGCCTGGACGATCAAGCTAATTTTCAATCGTCCAGATCATCTTCAGGGCGATGTTCTGGCCGATCGTCTGTGTTTTGAACTGATCGTACAAGATGATATTATTATCGTCCTGGATGATAAAGTCGGCAACTTGCAATTATTGAGCTCCTTTGAAGCTCTTCTATTTAAGAGCTCTTGTTCAACATTTTTGAATATCCTTGGCTGCTGTCTTGATCTGAGAAAACCTAAAGGAGAGAGAGAGAGAGAGAGAGAGAGAGAGAGGGAGAGGGAGAGAGGATCTTGTGAGTCGTGTTGTATATATTTTTTTTTAGATGTAATATTATATTATTTTAATTATATTTATATATAATAATATATTATAATATAATATATAATAATTATATAATTATATATTATATATAATATAAGGGAAGGAGAGAAGGATCGAGTGAGGGAGGAAGGATCGGGTGAGGGAGGAAGCCTGATCGGGCTAGGGTCGGCCATGCACGAAGAGGGGGAGTCGGGTAGCGATTGGAGCCGAAGGAGCGAAGTCGATCAGGCGTCTGGGTTCAGCCTGCTGGGGTCGGTCGGAGGAGCGAAGTCAGATTGCAATGAAGGAGCCGAAGAGCGGCTCGTTCCTTCTCTGGGAAAGAGCCGCAAAGCGGTGTGTGCAATCTCTCGGAGGAACGAAGTCGGACGGGATAGAAGGAGCCGCCACAGGGAGTGGAAGAAGTGGCGCGTGCGCTCTCTGCATGTGAAGCAACGGAGCCGAATAGTAACGACGAAAAGAGGATGAAGGGTGAACCCTAGACTTCTCCTCTGAAGCAATGAATTCGAACGACTAAGAGAGGGCCGTAGTTGGAGATATTGAGCGAAAGTTCAGTTTTTTTTTTGTTCTCTACTTCTCCCTTTTATCATGAAGTAACCGGTTATTCTGCTAAGAGATATGTCATTTTGGCGAGATGGGGCCGGCGTGGAGGTATGTCGGTTGTTCTGAAAAGAAAACTTTTTTTGTTATATATTTTTATATAGTCAAGAAATTGTTGCATTTCCCAAATCTTTCAACTTTTGTACATCAGGATTCAAGCCATTTGGAATATCCTCCTCTATCTCAATCTCTCCCTCTTCTTTGTCTTCAAAGTCTTCCAAAAGCACACTGAATTTGTTAACATTCACCACTCTTATAGGTGAATTGTGAAGCACCTCCTCCTCTATGATTTGAGTAGAATTAGCAGTGACTTCAACTTCGGTTTGGTCACCTTGCTTTTCTTTATTGTTAGATTCTCTAGCTTTGAAAAATCTCTTTTTCCTGTTTTTAAAAGCCACATGTATCCATGGACCATACTCAGATTTGTTAGTTTGAGTATTTTCCATAGCCTTTCCCTTTGCTTCCTTATTGAAAATAGCAATATGAGTATTACTACTAATCTCACTTTCTTTCTCCTCCTCCTTAGTAGGACAAAGATTGATTTTATGTCCAATTTTTCCACAATGATAGCAAAATGAGGAAATTTTTTCATATTCTATTTTTTGAAAAAATCTACCTCCCATGCCATCAATCGAAACTCCACCTGGCAATTTTTCATCTAAATTTATTCACACACAAGCTCTAGCTAATTCTCTTCTTCCCCATTTGAACATGTTACCATCAAGGAATAAAGGAACACCAACCTTTGAAGCAATCTTTGTTATATTTATCTCATCCCAATAATTTAAAGGGAGATGAGGCATTCTGATCCAAACAGGGGAGGATAATCCCTTCAATGAAAGAGGGGAGAAACTAGGAGTCCATTTGTCAATTCTCACAATCTAACCTCCTATATACCATGGTCCTCCACTCATCACATCTTCCAAAGCATCTTGTGACTGAAATGAACATAAAATCCAGTTTAAGCCCAATGCAGTCAAATGGAATGAACAAAATTTACTCCATTATTTCCTTAATTCCCAACAACAATCAAGAATAGGAATATTATTTCCTTATACTTTGACCACTAGCGAGTTCTTCAATACTGAAGCATTTGCATTTGCATGGTCTTCATTAAGTTTGATTGCTATTCCATCATCAGACATTTCAGCATAAATAAATTCTGGATTCACCTTCATACGAACAGTTGACATCCATGTGTTTGAGTAATTTTGAGCTTCAGTCAGATTGTCTCCATTCTTCAATATTGCTATTCCAGACGGCTTATTCAAGTTCCTTCCATTTCCATGATTTACCGGATCAGAATTTTCAATCGAAACCAGATTCTAATCTAATTCGATGCTAGTTGCCAAATCAATTGGGTCACCAACAATGGGATTAATAAATCTATTCACCTTTAGCTTCAATCTAGATGATGAAGCTTCACCGTCATTTTTCCCTGGAACTGGAATTAACACCTTTTGATTAGGTGATTTAGGTAAAATTTGAATGGCTTCGATTGCCTTTCCTTTGCCTTCGACAATTATGTTTTGTTGAACTAGTGGACGAAACCCTTCACGAATCCGCAATGCCGAATTCCTTGGATGGCCATTATGAATCTTTCCTTCAAAAGGCTTCATCTGATCTTTGTAGCTTCCAAATCTTCCGACCATTCTGATAGGAATGGTAGAAGAATGTCGAGTTAAAGGAGGATGATTCACCGGCGGTGGCCGGTGCTCTTCCTCCGTCATTGGGGTCTTCCCACGAAATAGCACGAAACTGAAATTTGAAATGACTTTTGCTAAGTAGCTCGTTTGTAGCCTTCAAAATCCTATAAATAAATGATAATGGATAATGTACACAACACAATAAAATTTTCAAAAAGATCTTTTTGGCTAGTAGAGAATTTTCCTCTTGCGTCGATATCTTAGTCATCCCTTACATTTCTTCTTCTTTTATACTCTCCATCTGTAATTATAGGTTCATTTGCTCTCTAACTAGACCTACCAATAAGATCAGGTATAGCCCACACATAAATTTGAATTCAATATATTAAATATTATTTATTTTAAAAATTAAATATTGGATTAGAATAAATTTTTTTAAAATTTTTATAAAAAGAGACATTTTGTAATTACTAAAATAAGAAAAAGGTCTAAAGGAACTCAACAGTCAACCCTCCATATGATTTCTGGAATAAATATCTCCCAACCCACCCGGAAAACACCACGAAGATTAGGTTTTTTCTACCATTCGTTCCTTACCTCGCCGCCGTTGCTGAGATGGCTGCCTCCGCTTTCGCTGTCTCGATGGCGCGGGCCGGTCAGTCTTTCCGCTCAACACTAAGTACAATGCTCACGAAACGCTTATTCCATTCCCCGTTTCCCTCTTCCCGGCATCCCATCGGTCTTGTTTCTTCCCTGGTCGGTGATGTCGTGCGCCGCCGTCCGATGCCTTACGCTTCCGTACGACTGGTAGCTGGAGGCGGCGCTGCTAGGCTCAACCCTATCCGTTGCAGAATCAATCGGTCAGGGGACTCGCCCTACTCACCGATCAACTCGGGTTCTGGTGGTGGATTCAGTGATAGGCCACCGACTGAGATGGCTCCTCTGTTCCCTGGATGCGATTATGAGCATTGGCTCATCGTTATGGATAAGCCAGGCGGGGAGAACGCCACCAAGGAGCAAATGATCGATTGCTACATCAAAACCCTAGCAAAGGTCGTTGGAAGGTGGTACTCCTATTCTATCTTTACTGTTTTTTTTTTTTTTTTCATGCAGTAAATATTTTATTTTCTTTTGGGCTAAATGTTTGCTTGTTTTCTTAGTCCTAGTTTGCAATGGGATGTATTTATCATGTTATGTGGTTGGCTGTATAAGAAGATAATGTTATTTTTTACTGTTCAGCGAGGAGGAAGCAACAAAGAAAATCTACAATGTCTCGTGCGAACGCTACTTTGGCTTCGGGTGTGAGATTGACGAGGAAACATCTAATAAGCTTGAAGGTTAGTCACTCGGTGTTCCTTTGGCATTGTAAGAATGAATATGCAGCTATTTATGCAGAAACGAGCCTTTGATGTCCTTGTCTAAAATAATACGTGATTCACTTGTTAATGAATAGTAGCTTTTTGATTAAATCCAACTGAAGAACTGCAAGTTGGATTGCAAATTGCGGACTATAAACCCATAAGATAATTACATTTGGTTATTTAATGATAATTTAATATTTATGTGAATAGTTAAATAAAATCTGCCTAAACTTAAGTGGTGAAGTTTAAACTACTACTAATTCAACTTCAGCATATAAGCAAAGAAATTTTGTAATAAATTTTAGCTTAAAATAAGTATATTTTGAATCGCCCGTGGGAATTTATACATTTTTTTATTTTTGATCAAAAATTGAATCTTGTTTAAACTTGTTTTAATTTTGAACTGATTCACAATTGACCAAGTCATTTTGAGTGGATTCAAGAGCTAGATTCTTAACTTGAGAAAAAATGTATTTATTTTGTGCCAAATTAACTTGTATATATACATACACACCATGTTACTTTTAAATTTAATATTTTTTAATTCCTTAAAATATATTATAGAAAATGTGAAATATAATCATATTTTTAATAAGCTAATAAAAATAAAATATTATGGACTCAATCTTCCCGTAACTCTAGAGGCTTTTTACTATTTTCTATGTTAGTGGAAACTCTCTAACATCATATTATTTAAAAAATGATTATGATACTAACCCACATCATGATGGCAATTCGGCAAATAGCTCAAACAAACAAGATGCACGCTCGCCTCGTTGATCCAACAGGTGGTGAAACATACCAACATGGATACAAAACTACTAGTGGACAAACGCTAATAAACAAGTGGACATTTTAGTAAGAAAATGAGTTCATCAAGATGTAGTTGCTGTTGTAACTAACTTTAGGGGTGTACAACTTTGATTTTCATGAGTTGTCATGGTTGCTTGTATTAGTATATCTTTGTCATAATTTCAATGAACTGATGAGAACTATAATCATTGTGGGGAGTTGAGATGGACCTTCTTCAAGAAGTTTTAATGAAATATCCTGGACCAAACATTTTTAAATTTCATCTTCTATCTTTGGTTTTATTCTATGTTTTCCTATAATCTACATTTTCTTCTAAAACTCACACAGGTTGTTTATCTTCTCTCCACAATTCCCATATTAGAGTTGTTGTGCTTCCATTTTCTTTCATTCCCTATCATTTGTTGCTCTCGTTGACTCCTTACGCAATTACGTGGCTGAATATACATGATCATCCATCAAGATGAATAATTAATTCACTTTTTTTTTGAGAAGAAATGCAAAAATGCATTAGTAAGAAAAGAAAAAGCCTAAATACAAACTACTCAAGCAAAAGGCAACCTATCACATTCCTCCTTCAACATATTAACAAAGAAAGGAGGAATATTATTCTCACTAAAACATGCCAACTAAGAAGCAACAAGAACTAGAGAGAGAAAGTTTCAAATTTCTTTTTTCCGGGCTCCTCAGCCGGCGATCCTGCGGATGGAAATACTATGGAGGCGGATGTTCGCCGATCATCGACGGACAACACGAACCATAGGGATGTAAATTCCAGCCCAACGAGGGAAATTGATGGTGGAATCGTTCTTAAAGAACAATCAATTTCAAGATGATCAATGGATGCAGAGGAAGCTCGAAGAAGGCGATCAAGAGGAATGCTAGTGATTAACGAAAATATTGGTAATGTTTCCAACATCTTCAAACAGGTAGAAGGTAAAGGAAAGATGGTTGATTCAAATTCTGATATCAATACGCCCAGCGCATTGAAAAATTGGAATCATCGGTGAATAGCCATGAACTGGAAGCATCTTCTTTAGGAATGAACATTTTTGTTCAAATATTTGGAAATTCAAATGCAATCCATGGTAACAGTGCGAAAAATTCGAATCTCCAGAATTCAGAGAACAAAAATGTTTTTCCTAAATCATACAGACAGGCAATCCAATCGGAATTGGTTTTAGAACAGTCTAAGGAGACATTTGCGAATCAAATTATTGATCAAATGACTGAGAGGAATGTAGTTAAATCGACAATTGACAACGTATGGTATAAAAACCATATATCAAATTAAACTTCAGTGAAGATGAATCAATGTTATCAGCAGACGGTAAAGCTGTGCTTTTAAACAAGGAAGCCGAATTCAAGAATGCAAAGGTGCTCGGTAAGTCCCTGGTTTGCAAAGTGTTTGGCAAAGACATACAACCTCAGGTTGTATCATGGGAACTTAGAAGACAATGGGCTAAGTATGACAAATTCCATTTCACCACTCTAGGAATGGTATGGTTTCTCTGCTCATTCAAATCGATGGAAGCAATGGAAGGAGTTCTGATGGGAGGACTGTGGTTTGTGAATGAACACATAATTGGTATGGATCGCTGGACTCCAAAATTTTCATCCTCGTCTATGATGGGGCTTTCATCGCCCATTTGGATCCGAATGCCTCATCTACCGCTGCAATGTTGGGACGAAAACAATATTGCAAGAATTGCCTCTAGAGTGGGAACACCATTTATGCTAGATGGCAACTTGTTCCATTGGGAAAGAAGAGAATTTGCCAGAGTATATGTCCGAATAAAACTTGATCAAAAACTGCCAGTTGGAGTTTGGGTGGAAAGCATGGGAGGAAGATTCTTCCAAAACTCGAGTATGAAAGGATATCAAGTTTCTGTTTTGATTGCGGTAGAATCGGACATGTAAAAGGCGAATGTGACAAACAAAATTATGTTGAAATCATTAATTCTTCAGATGAAATCTCTCTAGCTTCACAGAAGATGAAGGTCGTCGAAGATAGCAGTGCTTATGGTGAATAACAAGAGAAAGAAGCAAAATGTTGCTTTCAATAAAGAGATAACCAGAAAGACAGCTGCAAGAAACATTTCACACAAAAACATATGGAGAGCAACAGTAGATCCTGTTAATTCGGAAAAGACAGAACAACAAAGCAACAAAATGATGGAGACTCTTTTAGTTCATGACAATCGAGAAATAGAAGGAGAAATTTTTATAGACAATGTGAAATGCACAGAACTGGAATGTACTGAATTAGCTAAACCTGATCAAGGTCACATGGAAGGCAAAACAACTGAAATTTACATGCTACATGGGACAGTAAAACAGAGCAGGAAGTTACTCCCATAAGCAACTCTTTTGAAATTCGGGAAGAAAATGGGGTAGATAATCCAGTGAATGCATTGAATGAATGGTCTGAGATACAAGATGAGCATAATGACAATCTCAAATTGGTCAGGAATGTTGTACAGGAAAGCAAAAAATCCACAACCAAGGAGTAGGTGGATAGCATCATTTTGATTTCTAAGGTGTCTAACAGTAAAACCAAACTGGCCAAGGAAATGAAAATGCTAGGACCTCTAAAAGGGAATCACAGAACGAGGAAAGGTGATGGATGAGTAGAGAAGGCTTGGGCCTCAACCCCACATATACGTTAATGTCTTCAATTTTGCTTTGGAATTGTAGGGGAGCAAAGAAGAAAGAAGCCTCCCACTACTTAAGAAATATGGTTGGAGAAAATGGTATGTTTTTCATTGGTCTGATAGAAACTAAATTGGAAAAATTGGGAAGTGAAGAAGTCAGAAATTTGGTTGGGAACGATAGGGAGTTTTATCATGAAGCAGCTTCAGGAACCTCTGGGGGTATACTAGCTCTCTGGAAATATAGAACGGCCTCGTTTACAATCATTGTCTCTTTAAAACAATGCATTATAGGCAATCTTACCACTCCAAAAGGTATTATTTCCAAAATCTGTATTGTATATGGTAACAAAAATCTGTATGAAAGAAGGAAGCTATGGAAATTGATAGAAGAAAACATGAATTGCGAAGAGCCGTGTTTAGTTGGAGGTGACTTCAATTGTCTAATGAACAATAATGAGAAGATTGGAGGGAATAATTTTATATTCTCTCAAGGCCCGCAGGAAATGAAGGAATTTATGACTAATAATGACTTCCATGACATTGTTTTTAATGGTCCAAACTTCACTTGGTGCAATAACAAAGAAGGCCTAGCTAGAATTTGGGAGAGGTTGGATAGAGTTTGGTTAAATTCCAAAGCTTTAATGGAATTTTCAAATGCAATTGTAAAGCATCTCCCTAGAATCTCTTCGGACCACTGTCCAATCCTGCTTCAGATTGACAATAAGAAGCTACATAATAGTAGAGAAATCAGATTTGAGAACATGTGGTGTTCATATGAGGCTGCAAAAGGCATCATAGCAAAATCTTGGAGGAAAAATGATTTTGGTAATTCTAGTGATATTCTTCAAAGGAAAATTAAAAGGTCTCTAAAAAACCTTTACTTTTGGAGTAAAAACAAGTTGAAAGAACTGAACGTGAAGATTCAAGAGCTGAAAATCGAGATTCTACAGTTACAAGACAGAGAAGCTAGAGACGGAGGTTTGAGCTAGGAGAACCTTATTATCCTTCGCAGTAAGGTGATTGATTTCAATACAAACCTGACTAGAATTTCTACATGGTGGAGACAAAGATCTAAATGTCAGTGGATGGAAGAAGGTGAAAAGAACACTAGATACTATCATACCTTTGCAATGGCTAAGAAAAGAAGCAACCGAATTTTACAAATTGTAAGGGAGGATGGATCACTGGAATCAAATCAAGAAGTTATTCATGAGATTATGGAGAATTATTACTCAAAGAAATGGGGCAATCGCAAGTGCAGTTTGGTGGATTGGCCTAAATTCAATAATTTTGATTGCATTCATGAAGACAACATCAATACACTGAAAGCTGATTATACCAAAGATGAGCTGAAAATGATGTTAAAAAATGGACAACAATAAATCTCCTGGAGCTGATGGTGCCAACGCCTGCTTTTTCAAGAATTACTGGAATATTATGGAAGAGGCAACTTGGAATGCAATTGATGAGTTTTTCAAATCAGGCAGGATGCCCGAGCAATGGAAGGAGACT